TTTTTGAGATGAAGTCTTGCTCTGTTGCCAGGCTGGAGTACAGTATCAGCTCACTGCAACCTCCACCTCCTGGGTTCAAGCGATTTCCCTGCCTCAGCCTCCTGCTGGGACTACAGGTGCATGCCACCCCGCCAGGTCAATTTTTTATATTTTAGTAGAGATAGGGTTTCACCATGTTGGCCAGAATGGTCTCCATCTTTTGACCTCATGATCCGCCCGCCTTGGCCTCCCGAAGTGCTGGGATTACAGGTGTAAGCCACCGCAGGCTTTTTGCAAGCAGTTCTCCTGCTCAGCCCACTGTCCCTGGACTCTCCCCTGTATCTAAGCCCCCAATAAAACCCTATTACCTTGTTTGCTGGCTCTCGGTCTCTTCTTCCGCATCTTGAACCTGGTGCCATCCCCACTGGAGTCAATAGAGGTTTGGCACAATACTGTGCTCTCCTGTGCCTCGGCCTCCTCATCGTGCTATGGGCCACTGTGAGGACAGAACTGGCCTTCAAAGGGAGCAACGCAGGCAGCACCCCAGTGGGCTATGGGGCAGCTGGGCTTCACAGAGTTCCTGGTAGCATTTGGGGCTCTTCCTGTCAGCCCTACAGCCTGGAGCTGAGACAGTACCCTTAGAGTCTGTGGTCATTTCAGTTTGGGTCCCACTATGAGAATCTGTTCATCACTGGTGGCTATGCACTGTAATTATCTTCTGTGAAGTGATAGTTCTTGTGACTTGCTATTTCTCTGCCCTGCGTGGCCAACGGAGCCCCACGTGTTCTCTGAAGACCCCTAGCCCTTTCATACACCTGGACTTGGGTCCAGGCCATCGTGGTCCTCCCCTGCACACAGTAGGTTGTCCAGTTCATTCATATTCCTCTTTGCTCCAGGAGAGACCCTGGCCAGGAAGGGAGCTAGAGCTATGTGAACATAGTATAGGCCCAGGCATTGCCCCTCTTGGGAAACAGTAGGCAGGGACAAGTGGATACCAAGGCCTTGGTATCAACTTTTTTCACAGAAGTCTGTGTGTCTGCCAATGAAAGAACAGTGGGGGAATGCAGGGGCTAGTGTCCCAAAGACCTTATTTTGGGAGTCTTTCCTGCCTTCCCACCAGGGACCTCAGCTATCCCTGTGGGATGACCCCATCTGGGCTTCCTCCTCCTGTAGCTAGGTTCTCAAGTTCAGTCGTACTCCTATTTCCTTCAGGAGGGACCCTGGCCAAGAAGTGAGCCTGAAGTTGGATGAACATAGCAGCAGAGGTCAGGCTGGTCACGCTTGCTGCTCCTCCAACTTGCCTTCCCAGATGCACGGTAGGTAACCATGCTTAAGAAGAAAATTCCCTTTGTGTCTACCGAAGCCAGGAGTGATGAGTTCCAAGACCAGTGAAGCTGGTGAGTGATGTGGGCAGCCAAGGAGCAAGGGAGGCTGGAGATCTGTGGCAACAGAAGTTTGGCCTTTCTGGGCCCAGCTACCCTGTAGATTATTATTATTATTATTATTATTTGATATGGAGTCTTGCTCTGTCGCCCAAGCTAGATTACAATGGTGCAATCTCAGCTCACTGCAACTTCCACCTCCCAGGTTCAAGCGATTCTCCTGTCTCAGCCTCCCAAGTAGCTGGGATTACAGGTACGCGCCACCATACCCGGCTAATTTTTATATTTTTAGTAGAGGTGGGGTTTCACCATGTTGGCCAGGCTGGTCTTGAACTCCTGACCTCAGATGATTCGCCCACCTCAGCCTTCCAGAGTGCTGGGATAACAGGCGTGAGCCATAGTGCCCAGGCCAGAAATCAGATCCTTATTCAGAAACTCTGTATTATGAAAGTGGAATTTATGTTAAAATTCTAACACACACACACGGAGCAGGAGAAACAGAAGCCAACCTTGCTTTCCTGGGTCTTCTGCTGCCCTCCACACGGAGACCTCAAACCCAGCCTGTGCACAGAGGGGTAGGAAAGCACAGTTTTTGAACACCCACCAGAGGCAAGGAGGTCCCAGGAGGGGGAGTGTTGTCAGCCCGGGCCATGACTCAGGAAGGGAGGGAGCCTGATGCTTGGTGGTCACCCCACAGGCACTGGCCAGTCATAGAAGGGAACCCAGACTTCCCTCCAGGAGGAAGGGGCAAGAAGGGAGGAAGCAACTCCTTTTCCTTACACCCAGGTCTTTTGGGGGAAGGCAGGCCAGGGAAAGGGGACTGGCTTGGGACCCCTTGTTCACTCCAGTAACCCCTGCTGCCTCCAGAGTCTTCTGCTGGTACCCCAGAGGCTGCATCCAGGCTCTGAGAACACTGAGGCCTTGAGGGACTGCACCGTCTGGCTGCTCACGGAGCTTCCAGCCGGTGACTCTTAAGATGGATGACCAGCTGCGACTTCCAGTCGAAGGCGCGGCCGCAGTCACTGCAGAAGTGGCGTCGCTGGCCCGCGTGGCTCTTGCGGTGGATGACTAGCTGTGACTTCCAGCTGAAGCTGCACCCACACTCCTCACATGGGTAACTCCGGGGGCCTGTGAGTGACCGTCGCGGGTGGCGCGGAAAGGCCAGCTCTCCTTGAGGCGGTTTCTCTGTGCCTTCGCCAGTGGTTAGCCCTGGGGACTGCGAACCTGGCCTGCTTGTGTGTGTCCGGTGGTGGATAACAAACACTGACTTCCAGTCAAAGCTGCGGCCACACTGCTCGCACATGTAGGGCTTCCTGGGGGTGGTGCCCGGCTCCAGTCGTATCTCTGTGGGTGTGGGCATGGCGGGCGCTGGTGGTGTCCCTGGGCGTGCAGTGGGGGCAGGAGCTGTGGCCCCAGATGGGCCATCCCACGCCGCAGGACCCGGGCCCCGGGGTGGCTGGGCCTCTGGGCAGCCCGGCAGACCCTCATTCTCATCTCCTGGGGGCAGGGGCAGACCAAGTGAGTCCCCGCACTCTGCACTTGTGATACCGCCCACCCATCCCTCAGGCTTGTGGCCACGGCACGCAAGATCGCACCGTGTGACTCAGGTCCCACCCGTCCAGGAGGGGTGGTTCAGGCTGCACAGTGGGGTGTACTCACCTGAGCCCAGGTTTCTGCAGACGCCTGCCCCCGTAAGCAGCACCCCCAACTCCGACTGGGCCTGTGCCTCCGGCTGGTGGGGTGGTAACCCTGCCCGGGTGGGAGGCACAGTCAGGTGAGGGGTTTGCGTGAAGGAGGGGTAGGGTGGGTTCCAATAGGTGACAGGTGTCCCTTTGGAAGGTGAGAGAGCTGGGTAGGGCTGGTACCACAGAGGCCCTGCCCAGCTAGGCCTGCTGCAGGATGGGTGCAGGCCCAGGGAGAGGGGCGGGGTGGGGCTGGCTGGTCCTCACCCAGGGAGACCACTGTGCCGTACTTCTCCAGCATCGCGTCCCAGTACAGTTCCTTCTGTGAGCGGTCCAGCAGCCCCCACTCCTCCTGCGGACGTGGCCCATCACTGTAGGCACCCTTCCACCCTCCCTTGCCCTGTCTGGTTCATATTATTACCTGGGGGAGCCAGCAGGTTACCTACGCCTCATCTGCCTCTCTAGCTGAGAATGATCTTGAGGTAGGTGCTTGTAAGTGCTGGGGTCTTCCTTCAGATCACTTGACCAATGCTGTTGCCAGCACTCATCCCCCTCAACTACCCCACCCTGCTAAGAGGGTGGGCTTGGCAGCATCACAGGGACCTGAATGACTTTATCAAGGAGTGAACTCCCTGCCTGGGAGTCAGCCCTCCTTGCCACCTGAGTCCCATCATCTGGGGCTCTACTGGGGTGGGAAAAATAATCCTCAAGGACAAGCTGTGGCAAGTCCAGGGGCACGAAGGCAGCAGCTATAAGGAGCCACAGCTGGACGTGGATGGTGCTGGCTGGAGGTGAGGACCCCGTGGAAAGGGTAGCCTAGCTGCTCTCCTCACTTTCTGACTGTGCCATGGGGTTGTGAAGGGAGCCTGCAAAGACTTCTCCACCTTGAAGCATATCTCAACTAGCAATTCTGCTACTGAAGCTCCCCAATGGAGTGGCTTAGAAGCAGAGGAAAAGGCCTTGCCACCCACACTTGGAAACCAAGTGATCCAGTAGCAGAGACCTCAAGCTGAGCTTCCAGGCCCAACAGGTCGCCTCTGAGGAGAGCCCTAGGAGAGAAGGGACTTGGGGCATTTTACAGGAAGAGTGTCTCCATCTGTTTCAGGTGTTGGGGGAATACCGCCACAGCTGGTCTTCTCCCCTCCCCATCTATACACAAAAGTTCAAATCCCCAGGTTCTGGCTCAGGACCTCTGGGAGCAGCAAACCTCCCAACTGACTTCTCTGGAGGTGAGAAAGCCATGCCTGCTAGTTCCAGCCACTCTAAACTGGGTTTCCATGGCTTGAGGCCCAAATCCTTTTTTTTTTGACAAGGAGATTTGCTCTTGTTGCCCAGGCTGGAGTGCAGTGGTGTGATCTTGGCTCACTTTGACCTTTGCCTCCTGGGTTCAAGCGATTCTTCTGCCTCAGCCTCCCTAGTAGCTAGGATTACAGACGCATGCCACCATACCCGGCTAATTTTTGTATTTTTAGCAGAGACAGGGTTTTACCACGTTGGCCAAGCTGGTCTTGAACTCCTGACCTGAGATGATCTGCCCACCTCGGCCTCCCAAATTGCTGGGATTACAGGCATGAACCACCTTGCCCTGCCCCAAATCCTTTCCATATTAGATCACCAGTCTGTCCCTGTGCCCCAGGTCCTGTGGGGGGTACAACTGCTACACACTCCACTTCTGGGCATCAAAGAGCCACTAGCCATGGAGCCTCGAAAACCACAGGGCCGAGGGCAGCCATGGGGACACTCCCTCCCCACACCTCCGGCCTACACTTCCCACCTGGAGCTGCTTACCTGAATCCTGGGTGGGTGGAAGGAGGTAGAGGCTGGCTCTTGGTGTCCATGGTGCCCCTCAGGGGACTGAGCTGCAAGTGGAGGGCTGGAGGGTGCTGAAAAGTGGGGCAGATCGGAGGCTGGTGTCAGAGTCTGCCCAGAAGAGCCATGGCAAATGAGGAGCTCCTCTGCTGTGTGACATGGCAAGTAGCCAGCCCTTTGCTCCAGCCTCCCAGGTTCCCATCCCAGACAGGGACATCCACAATCACTTCAAGAGTCCCAGCCTTGACACACCTCTCCTGGGACTCCCACCCAAGCCAGGAATGTCCACGCCTCTTCCAGGAGCTGCTCATCTCTGGTGGGACCCCAACCTCACCCATTTCCTGTCCATCGACATTGGGCTCCTCCTTCACACTGCAGCTGAGCTGGACAGACCCCTCTCTTCTGGTGTCCTGGGGACCCTCCCCAGGGGACTCCACTGTCCCTGAGCGGGGGGGGCTCCCCAATGAGTCCTCTGTCTTCTGGGCTGCAGGGAGCACCTCCTGCTTCAAGACATGGGCTGTGATCTGAGGAGAAGAAATAAGTCACAAGGGCTCTAGCCTGGGTCTGTCCCTCCAAGAAGCTGATACTGGCCACACTCACCCAGCCCAACAGCTGCCCAGGGTCATGCTGCAGTCCTTCCACCAGGGCAGCAGCCTCCTCAGGACTGCCTGGCCGCTGACCTCGCACCCAGGCCTGGATCTCAGGAGGCAGTGTGCCCAGGAACTGCTCCAGCACCAGCATCTCCAGCATCTGCTCCTTGGAGTGTGCCTCAGGCTGCAGCCACTGGTGACACAGCTCACGCAGCCGGGCCAGGGCTTCTCGGGGACCTGCCACCTCCTGGTAGCAGAACCCTCGGAAGCGGAGGCGGGCAGTCTCAGGCTCCTCGAGGGTGGTCTCTGGGTCCATGAGGGGCAGGCATGGGGGACCCAGAGGGGATGGCATTCTTGTTCAAGGGGGTCTCTTGGAGTCGTTAAGGGGTCTACAGAAAAGGAAGGGTCCAAGTGTCAGCCAAGAGAATCTGGCCAGGGGAAGGCAGACACCAGGCCCAGCCCAGGGGGCTGAGACCAGGACCAAGTGTACTCTGAGGTCAGAGGAGGTAAGGCCAAGAAGCTTCATGGAAAGATAAGGGTCACAGGAGCTACATAATGACGGCAAATGAGTCAGAGGAAGCCTTGCAGACAAATCCTTGGAAGCAAGGTGTCCAGGGAGCTTCCAGGAAATTGCAAACAGTTGGGTCCAACAGGGGACTGCTAGGAGATGACGGTAAAGAGGTGGATAAGGACAATCATCGCAGGGTTCCAGGGCCAGGCTGGGGAGCCACAGGCAGTGCTTAGCAGAGGTGCGAGGGGAGTGGTCAGCTGGGCAGGTGGGGCCGTGATCCAGGGTGAGTGGGATCCCTGAGCGAGGAAGAGGCAGCAGGTAGAGGGTGGAGCCAGGCTGTCATGTATGGGGGCGAGTGTCCCTCCACAATCTCGGGGATGCTGACTGAGGGGAACATCCTTAAGACTGGCTCTGGAGAGCGATCCCGTGAGGCCTACACGGCAAGTCAGGGCTGATGTGGACACCGTGCTCGCTGACCACAACGAACTGTGGATGACTCACACTGCCTGGGCCCACGCGTGTAAAGACGAAAAGCAAAGAACAAAAACGGAGCCAAAGCTCCACGTTGCGTGGAGTCCAGGGATGGGCACCGCTTCCCGGTCCCGGAGGTCTGGCGTGAAATACGCCCCCCTGCAGGGGCCTGAGAGACCAGGCCTGACACCCGGCCTCGGCACCCGGAACCGTGTTGAGGGGAGGAAGGGCCTGTGCGAAGGCTGAGGGGACGCGCGGGGCCGGTAGGGAGGTGGGCGGGCCCTCCAGGGCGCCGAGAGCAGGAGTCCTGCAGGCCCCAGAGGGCGGCCCCAAACCCTCCCGCCGGGTAGAAAGGCCGCGCCCCGCTCAGGGAGCCTGCGCTCACCTCAACCCCGGAGCCGTTGCTGGGAGGCCGCTTCCCGGAAGTGGAGCCGCGCAGCCCAGGGCGCCTCAGCCGGGTGTTGCCCCGGCGACGCTGCGCTGACCAATCCCGCGCCAGCACTGAAGGCACCGCCCACCCCCTTTAAACTACGTTTCCCATGAGCGTCAGCAAAGACAGGCGGGACCGCGGCCGCCGGACCCGCATTTGCAGAGGCCTCTGACGCCTGAGAAGCGCTCTGTTCCTCTAGGAGGTGCCGCAGTGTTCCACAGTTATATAGGCTCCCTCCGCTTTGGGAGCAGCTCTCCCTTACCATGTTATAAACCTGCAATTCTGTATAGTGGCCCGGTTCCTACTGGCCGGTGAGGGGAAGAGGCGGGAGGTTTTGCCCAATGAGAGGTGGTGCTTGCCTGGCCCCACCCCCACGACGTTCCGCTCGACCAGCCCCCGGATAACAGCCGGGGCATATCCGCCAGCCTCCAGCTGTTCTCATGACGTCAGGAGCGTTGCCTCGACTTCCGAGGAGGCCGGAAATGGTGGCCCAGTGGTCTCCTGGGTCGAGTAGTTCGCTGTGACTCTTTCCAAGTGGTCCCGGGAGAGGCGGGGTCGGGTGTGGACCACCACCTGAAGTTGGGCTTTCTCCCTCCTGGAGGGTGCGGGGGGGGGGGCTTCTTTGGCCTATGTTAAGCGCCCTGCGGTCACGCGGGGGCCACAGCGACCCTGAAGAGGTACTGACGGTTGTGACCGCAGTCTCTGACGTCTTCAGATGTCAGTCCTGCAAAGTCGGGGGCGGAGGTTTTCCTCCAGGCTGATGGGACTTGCGCAACCGTTTATTTACCTTTTATTTAATTTGGGGAGAACTAGACAGGGTGCCACTTGTTTCTCCCAATAAGCAATGTTACAGTTTTCTAAATCTGTGGGATCAGTTTTGCTTCCACACTTAAATGACATTATCAGTTCTAAATTACACCACCTGTTTCGGTTTCTTTGGATACTTGGGAATCTCTGCTGCCTACTCTGGATGCAGAGCAATGGTCTTAATCACAGATTGGAAGCACTGAGCACATGCGTGATGGGACTTGTCAACTTTGAGCTTTCCAGAGGCCTCCTCGGGTTGTTTTTGGGGATGGGGTGCTTAGGTCTTTTCTCTGGGACTGTGCAGATTCCCAGGAGGAAAAAAAAAAACAAAAAACAAACTTTTACCCTCCACCAGGTGGGGAGAGCATTGGGTCATTAAGGGCTTCTTCAGTAGCTGTTCCCCAGGCAGCTTTGTTGTAGATCTCCTGTATCTGGGCTGCTGGTTCTCTCTGCCTTCTGCTGTTCTGCCGTAGCCGGGTGGGAACTCTCTCCACTTCCCCAAGTGGCCACGCAGTATATGGCCTTCCCTAACTTAGTGACAGCTCCCATCCACTTCTAGCTTAGGAATGCCGTTGCTGCTGACTCATCTTTCACCATCCTCATACTTGTGGATTTGTTTTTTTTTTTTTTTTTTTTTTTTTTTTTGTGAGTGTTTTTTTTTTTTTTTTTTTTTTTCTTTTTTTGAGACGGAGTTTCGCTTTTGTTACCCAGGCTGGAGTGCAATGGCGCGATCTCGGCTCACCGCAACCTCCGCCTCCTGGGTTCAGGCAATTCTCCTGCCTCAGCCTCCTGAGTAGCTGGGATTACAGGCACGCGCCACCATGCCCAGCTAATTTTTTGTATTTTTAGTAGAGACGAGGTTTCACCATGTTGACCAGGATGGTCTCGATCTCTTGACCTCGTGATCCACCCGCCTCGGCCTCCCAAAGTGCTGGGATTACAGGCGTGAGCCACCGCGCCCGGCAGATTTGTGTTTTAAATGCTCCCCTCTGTGGTTTCAGTGGAGTTCTAAGTCCAGTGAGATTTATGTGTTTGGTCTGACCTTTTGACACAGACCTTTTGACCTAGAAGCCCAGGGACACTTTTACAGTCACTGCCTATTCAGGATTAAGAGCAGAGGGGGAGGCTGGATGGAGGTCAGCTAAAGGGCCAAGACCTGGGTGGAGGCGGGAGTCCAAGTTGGGGGCCACCGACCAGTCATGGGTTTAAGGAGGGCAAGATTGGAGGAGGGTGGTGGAGGTGAGAGCTGGTGGGAAGACAAGGTAGCGCACTGAGCCCAGCCTAAGGGGTCAGGCAGGCTCAGGGCAGAAACTTCAGCGTCTGTCAAAGGCACAGAAATGATTTCATGTGACTCTCTGGGTATCCACTTGTTTGACAGATGCTTCTGCTCCTGACTCCCATGGCTTCCCCCAGAAAAGTCCTCTTTCAGACAGGGAAGGGTTGTCTGCATTTCACAGCTCTGCAGACTTAGTAGGGGACAGTGGTTCAGGGACTTACTGGGATCCTGGAGGTCCAAGTCTTGCAGACTCCGGGAGAGCTGGGTCCTGCTTGTCTCCACTCCCTGCAGGAACCTGTGAGGTTTCACAGGTGGAATACCAAGTGGGTGGGGCGAGTTTCTGCTCTTTGTGTATAGAGTGGGATCGCTGCAAGGCTTTGGAAGCCATGGGATGGAGCGACCACCGGTCTGGAGTCAACCTTGCAGGGTCATCACACATGGCCACACCCTCTATCTCAACAGCAGGGGAACACAGCCCTGCTTTGGTTTCTCCACCTACCATCATCCCATCAGCAGGATCCACCAGGACTCATCACCTAACAGAGCTGCTGCTCCAGGCAGCCCCACCCCATCCCACTTTATCCAGCTTCTGGCTCCCCCAACCCACCTCTGGCCCTGAAAAGGATACAGGTATCCCACTCCCTCACTGGACCGCAGACAGGCTGCATCTCTATTCTGTGGCCTCTTGAGGGTGCCCAGGTTGAAGCCAAGTCCAGGAACTTCTGTGATGATGACACATGCTGATGGCATGTCAGGGTATGTTCAATACCATCTGCATTGTATGAGGGTGAAATGGGTGTTGGGTTGCTACTGTTCACACCAATGTTTAAAAAGAAAGCTTTATCAGAGAAGCTGTTTGAACTGTTATTAAACACTAAACCATGCTCTGGAGTAGGGACAAGAAGCTGTGCTGTGGCAGTCCAAACTGCTGTACAAGAAATTGCAACACCTACTCCGAGTTGCAGATGCTAGTCTTTTTTTTTTTTTTTTTTTTTTTTCATTAAAGAGACCTTGAATTTCCTTGGAGGTGAGGCTCCAGGTAGGGACAGGGCCTGGTCTGCTGAAGGCCACAGGAAGCAAATGGCCCCCAGTCCACCTTTCTGTTCCTGCCATGCAGGGCCATTACACTGGGGTGGGGAGGTCATCAGGAGGATGTCACACACGGCCTTAGGTAATGGCAAGTCGTTCCTATTCAGTTCTCTGTCCGGCCTCCAACTGAGGAGGGATAATGGGGGTAAGGTGAGACGGGGTGTGGGGGGGGAAGTGGCCACCAAACCCAGCAAAAATGAGCAGCTCCATCTTGTCTGAAGTTAACATTGTCCCCTCAGAAGTAAAGGCTCCTCATCACATCAATTTTAGTAAACAAGTCAGTGACAGGCCTTGGCCAAGCTGGGACTTGGACCAAAACCTGAGCAAGTGCCACTGGAAAGCCATCATCCTAGCTCTGTCCTTCTAATGCTGAGAGCCACATGTTCCCCCATGGGCATCCCTATGCTGAGTTGGCTGTGTGTGTGAAGCCAGGACAGGCCCTCATACCTGGCCAGAGTGCAGCCCAGGAGATGAGGTATCTGGACGCTGGGTCAGTCCACCTGGGCTTGGGTCCCAGCTCTGCTGTGTGCCATGGCAACTCACCTCTGCCTGTGTGCCTCAGTTTCCTCATCTTCCAAGGGGTGATACCAGCCACAGCAGCCATCTCTCAGGGCTTCAAGAGAAATTTCCCAGCACTTAAGACAGGAGCCGACAGTAAGCACATGTTGGCTCTCATTAGGACTCCACCTGTCAGTATCTGAAAACATGATGTTTGGTAGACCCAAACCTTTTTCCCAGAGGCGGTGGCTGACACTATGAGCCCACATCCTGATCCCATCACTTGTGGTCTCCTGTCTGCTAGGCTGGCCCCTAGGAAGCCTTGGATGAACAGTGGCAGTGGTAACGGGTGGGGACAGGGGGAGGAGAATGCCCTCAGCATCTATCCAGCAGCTAGTTTGTGTGCAGATAAGTTTCTCTGGGTCACACAACCTATGTCCACATGTCCCTCACCTTAGCATCCACTGTTGTAACACATGAAGCAGTACCACATTGCAGTGCTGTGACTGTCAGCCTCCTACTGGCTCTGAATAGTCCCGGCCCAACTAGAGTTTCAGCCACCATGTCCTCCCGCTGATGTTTCTACAGTGCTACTTCTTTGGGGATGCAGATACTGGCAAATTCAGTCCCCAAGTGCTAATGAAATCACAGCCAAAGGGGCTCCCTTATCCCTGCCTAGCAAGTACAAGGCTTTTTCCCTGCTGTGGATCTGCAGAGGACATATGCCCTTTAGATGTGGAAGGGATTCACAGAGGGCCAAGAAAGGGTGAGGCTGCAACCTGTGACCTCAGACCTCCGCTGGCTCCGAAACTGCGGCTGGGCCCAAGGCGGGAGTGGGCTCGCTTTCCTTCACTGGCGCACCTTCTGTTGATGCCCCAGAAACAGACCTGGCCTGGGGCTGCAGGCTGGCCCTGGATCGCCGGACGGTCTTCTCACCGGTATGTATCCTCTGGTGGTGGAAGAGGGCCGGGCGCTCACGGAAGGCCCGACCACACTGCGTGCACACGAAGGGCTTCTCGCCCGTGTGAATGCGCCGGTGGCTCAGCAGCACAGCGCCCTTCGCGAAGGCCTTGCCACAGTCCCCGCAGCGGAAGGGCCGCTCGCCTGTGTGCAGGAGCTGGTGCTGGGTCAGGTTGGAGCTGTGGCTAAAGGCACGGCCGCACTGTGCGCAGGCGAAGGGCTTCTCGCCCGTGTGCACACGCTGGTGCTTAAACAGCGAGGACCCCTGGCTGAAGGCGGCACCGCAGAGTGCACACACAAAGGGCTTCTCGCCTGTATGGGTGCGCTCGTGCTGGATCAGGTGCGAGTTGCGGCAGAAGCGGCGGCCACACTGTGCACAGGCATAGGGACGTCCGCCCGCGTGTATCTTGCGGTGCTGGCTGAGGTTGGAGCCGTGGCTGAAGGCCTTGCCGCACTCGGAGCAGCGGAAGGACTTCTCAGCCGTGTGGATGCGCTGGTGCCGCACCAGTGAGGAGCTGTGCCTGAAGGCCTTGCCACACGCGGGGCAGGTGTAGGGCGTCTCGCCGCTGTGGATGCGCTGGTGCTGCGTCAGGTGCGACGTCTGGCTGAAGGCCTTGCCGCACTGGGAGCACTCGTAGGGCCGCTCCCCTGTGTGGGTGCGTAGGTGCTTGAGGAGGTCGGAGCTCTTCACGAACACTTTGCTGCACGCCCTGCATTCGAAGGACTTTTCCCCAGCGTGGAGAGCCTCGCCCAGCTCATCCCAGGTCGAAGGCTCCTGGCCACCGAGCAGTCTCTGAGGCTCCTGCCAAGCTGAACCCATTCCGTGATTCCCCTGACCGCTGGCGGCCTCCACGTCCGGGGCGTTCCCGAAGGGTCTCCCAGGGGCCTCCAGCGCACATGGCTTCTGCTGCTGAGGCGTCCTAGGCTGCCTCCCAGGCACCGGGTGCTCTGTGAGGGTCTCTTCCCTAAGCTGGCCAATCTCAGGAGTCCTGAGTGGGGACGTCAGTCGCAGGCTGATGCTGGCTTGCCCGCTGTCTGAGCCTAGGAGGAGCCTCTCCCAGTAGATCACCGACACCCCCGTGGGTTTTCTCTCCCGAGATGGGGAGGCACCCCGTTGTTGCTGCAGGCCTTCTGTACTGTGGCAGGCACCGGCAACAGGGAAGACACTAGTAGTCATTATGGGTAGGGTATCTGGAAAAGCCGGTTGCCTTGCTGCTTCTCCAGAAACATCTCCATCTTCTGCCAAACTCCAGAAACCTGAAGGTAGAGAAATGGTGGTTGCCTAGGGCATCCTGGTTAGCAGAGGACCAGGGTAGGCTGAGTGGACACGCAAGAGGGAACGTGGGGGATGGCACAAAAGCTTAGGGGAAAAGTAGAGGTGAGGCTAGCCCTGGGGGTTAGGGGGAAGATCTGCCCTGATGGGTGTGGCACTGACTGCAGTGGGAACTCCCATGATCAAGGTGGCAGCCCCCAGACACCCAGGAGGTGGGGCGGAGGGAAACAGCAGCTGCTGTGTGCCTTGTACATCTCTACACTGGCTGTTCCGCCCACTCCCTTTCCATTGCTCACCGCCTTGTCCCTTGGTGCCCCCCTCTTGGGCACCCACTCCCCAGCCTGCTCTTGCAATGACCTCCATCCAATGCTCTAGACTCTACTCCTGAATCCTGCTTACCAACAGCCTCCCCCACCACACCCAAGCCCCACAAAAGCAGTACCAGGATCCGCCTGGTTGAAGTTTTGTCTACATTGCCTGGAATGGGTCTGGCCACTGTGAGCACTCAGGAAACATTTGCTGAACACAAAGATGAATGATGGGTTAAAGAAATGGCCCATTGGCCAGGCGCAGTGGCTCACGCCTATAATCCCAGCACTTTGGGAGGCCGAGGCGGGTGGATCATGAGGTCAAGAGATCGAGACCATCCTGGTCAACATGGTGAAACCC